CAAAAATGTACATATCCACAACGATCTTGGAATCCCAACTATTGCAGACGTCATTACTACATGCGGCCAAAAATATAAAGTGAAACTTCACCAGCATAGTAATCCAATGGCGCAACAGCTGCTTTCTGATACCACAATATCTAGACTTAAGCGAAAAAGCTTCGTACCACCTTAACGTAATTTTACTAAAAATGTTGATATAAATTTTGATAATAATAATCCATTTCATTTTATTATAAAGTTTAAACTCCTTTTTTGCACCTGCTAATTGCATTATGTTTAGTTTTTAAGATTTGATTACATAATTGTCAATTTCTTATCAGAAAGATACAATTAAAAATAAAATAAAAAAAAAAAAAAAAAAAAAAATTTGAAAGACCACTCTGTCCTTCTTAAACGAAGGCATTTGTCTGATCTTTAGATTAATGTTGCGAAAATTTGATTGAAGAACATTAAAGGATCTACTATAACCGTTCACAAGTTCGTGGTTTATTTAACCGTTCACAAGGAGAAACCATGCTTAATTTCAACTAATCGAGAACTATGTAGAATATAAGACTGATAACTGAAGTATCTATAATGCACTCTTCCAAAAAAAATGTTTGCTATTACTAAATAGAATTCTTTTGTTTATATAAACATAACACTATTATGGAAGAAATGAGTACAGTGTAGGATATCGGAAGCGGGCTGAGAGACAGCAACATTGCTTAGTAAAGGCCAATGTACGTTCATGAAAGCGTACCTAGAATAAGTTTTTCTGTAATATTTTTAAAGTTAACATATGACAGGGAATACAGATACTATACTTATAAATTTTTTTACGAATAACCATGATTCTTACTTATAAAAATATTAATAATGAAATGAATAATTAATTAATTATATTTAAATTATAAATATATTTTTTTTTCTTACATCGGCTATATTTTGCAGTGATGGAGCAGCAATAAATACTACATAAGGCGTGAATTCAGCTGTGCGTAAAATTTTTAATGCTTGTGGCTCTACATCGAGTATAGCCATTTTACCGTCAGTATGAATGCGGCGTATGGTGTCCAATTTCGTACCATACATAGCATCTTCATGCGTTCCTGTAATATTTACATCAAAAATAACATTAGTATATGATTTAACTGATTAATGTTTAATTACAAAGTATTACCGTATTCTAAATACTCATTAGCAGCTATGTCTGCCATCATATCGTCATGAGAAACAAAATAATAACTACGACCATTTTCCTCTTCTGGTTTAGCAGGTCTCGTTGTATCTATGTATAAAGAAAAACAGTACTTGTAATGAATTATAATATTTAAAATATATAAAAGAATATAAACTTACGTGGTATGGGATAAGCATATTTATCGGGATACTTAGATATCAATGTATTTTTAATATGACGGCGGCCCACACCATGAGCTCCTAGTAATACTAAAGTTTTACGCTGGAAATTTGGATCACCGACTAAAAGGTAAAAAGGTAAAACGATCAATTTTTTAAATAAATTACTTTTTTTTAATTTCATGCTAAGGCATTACCTGGGACTTTTACAACCTCCTCGTATGTTACCACGTCTAAAGTATCAAATATTGCATTATGTTTAGCCAAATATTTATCACGGCACTGTTTCTTTTTACGTCCAAAGATAGAACAATTCACTATTAAATCAAAAAAATTAATATAAAATGCATTATTATTAAATAAAAGTTATTAAGCATTGAATAAGCAATAGCATGCGACAAAATAATTTGAAGCATGCGATAATTTTTTGTTTTAAATATCACAATTTAGGTACATTTTGCCAGAAGCATGCGAGTATAGAGTTTACATAGAGAAATTTTTTAAAATGCATTAAAAAAGAGTTTTATTTATTACGGAAACAAAATTTTTTATGTATAATTTTTTTTTCGGATTTAATTTATTTAAGATTTTAAGAATGGTGCAAAGTATAAAAAAAGTTAATACATGTGTCTTAAAAATTTTATTATCATAAATATCATATTATACCAATTATATCATAATATAATTTATTAAAAAAAAGCATGCCGCTGGTTTGGAATATTAGATATTAATAAAAGTTTTAAATTTTTTTTTGAAATTTAATTTAATAGCAGTCAAGTTTTGTTTGTAATACTCCTTACAGTGTACTCTAATTATAATGAAAGTTTTTATTCCATTCCCATATACCTATTAATATTTAATATTTTACAAAAACTACCATAACAGTCTTTTGTATCTAAGGGGTATCATAATTCCTGAACAATTTCTGCTATTCCTCTGCTTATTCCTACATTATTTCTACCTTATACCAAAGAATCAATAGTACAAAGAAGTGCCACGCTCATACAAACGAAATACCCACTTTATTTTGCTGGTGGATTTATAATAAATCCACCCAACCTCATGCAACAATGCTCGATCGAGTCACAACTGGTATGATGTCCAGTTCAAACTCATTGCAACCCACAATTGTTTTTATACGCCTGTTTCTTTTGCCTTTCTTGTTTTTATTTGTCTATTTAATTAATATGCATGGATTAGTAACGAAGTGAATGGTAAAGAAATCCCTCAAATTATTTTTCCATATACTTTGTTGGTTTATCTTCTTGTATTGGAAAGGCCCATATCATAGGAGTAAAGAGTATTAGAATATATTATTTTTTTTATTGCAACAAATGATGCACTACAAAAACTATTATGTATGTACAAATGTGATATTGGAGACATTAAGTCTGCAGAATATTAATATGTATGTTTTTATTGCACATTTGTGCATATATTTTACCTCAAAAGGAACTACTTCTTAATAGTTTGAATTTTTGGTGGCTTTGTGATTATTTTAAAAAATATTTTTAAGATTCATATAAAAGTGTTTGAAAAGTATTTTAAAGAAAATAAAAATACTAGAAAAGCAAGAAAAATTATATTGAAAAAATGTATAGAAGTCATTAAAACCACTAATAATGCTTCCTGGTTTGAGGAAACGCATGAATGCTATTTACACCGGATTGAAATGTTAAAATTGGTGTTTACGATATTGTTTCGAAAACATTGCGCATGGACAACATTTAAAAATAAAGCTTCATAGAATGGAAAAAATCAGATTTGAGACATAAATAAATTTGTAATGTGTTTTTACACTACAATTCATACCAATAGCAAACAGGTAATTTTGTTTTATATACTATTAAATTCAAAAACTTATCAAATGTACACAATTTTAATTTCGTCACTGAAATGCTGTATGATCGCTTGAACATTTTACAGCGAACAAACATACAAACATGCATATAATGTAATACAGAGGGTTGTATGTATACGATTGAATACGTATGCAGTCGGGCTTTTGTCAGCCATACTTGACTCACATATTGGTTTGAACTGAACATCATACCAGTTGTGACTCGATCGAACATTGTTGCATGAGGTTGGGTGGATTTATTTTAAATCCACCAGCAAAATAAAGTGGGTATTTCGTTTGTATGAGCGTGACACTTCTTTGTACTATAGATTCTTTGCTTATACCCCACCACTTTTCACTTCTCATCCAATTGTGGAATTTTTATCGCCCTTTTTTAATATTTTAAACACAATAATTGTGTATATATCAGTTTATCATTTATGACAGACTAGTTGAAGTCTATAAGTTTTAATTTTTACCAAAGAATAACCATAATTTTGCAATATATTTACAAAAACATGTCCACATAAATTAATTGATCATTATTATTTTATTTTTAAATTGCTTTAGATTCTTTACATCAACATTCAACACAAATGCTATAATTATTAAAAGGGACTCTGGTTTGAATGAGGTCCGACACTCAGAAGGAAATCTGGTACATCATGATATAATGTGCTATTGCTTAAAAAAGTCTCAATCTCACCTAGATAGGTTAAATATTAATTAAGCATACAATATCTTTTAATTTAATTCTTCAAACAACATTCGGTTTTTTAAAGAGTTGATACTGATCGATACTGGAATCGTTTCCTGTCCATCGCACAACAAGAGTTAAATTACATGGTTCAATGTTTTAAAAAAAAAAAAAAAAATTTATTAACATTTTTGAGATTTGTTACTGGAGTAGTGAGATGAGTTATTAAAAATGACAAAAACGGTGAGAAAATATCGCAGCAAGGCCTGATCCAACAGCATTTAATAATAATAAATAAACATAAGCTGCTAATTTAAGTAAGGAAAACTAAAAGTCCGATTTAAATATAAAAAAAAATTACGATATAGAAGAAGTATATAAGTAAGTCTTATATAAAAAAAAAACGAATACTACATATCATAGCTTTTTTCATACATATTATCATTAAAGTGGCTTTATTTTAATATATAAATTTAAGTTTAATTTAAATTAATTTAAATTTTAGAATAAATACTTTTAGACTAAATATTGTAAGTTTAATAAGTTCTTGAATAAATTTTTAAAATTTTGTAAATTATATTCCACTACATACACAGCTACACATACATTACTTTAAGTAATTACTTATATGAAAACTTAATAATACTGTTTTTCAATTAACTTATGTATATGTAAATAATTATTGTAGTAACTTATATAACTCTGTTTAATAATATTAATAAATTTAATGATTACGATCAACTTATTTAAATATATTAGTAGATATCTAATAGGTTTATTTCTATCACGATTTTTTTTATACATAAAATAACAATAAATTTTTATATAACATTAAAATCATATACAATTTAACTTATATCTAAATAATAAAAATTAAAACATATATAAAATGAAATATGTAAGTTTATGTAGAAAATGATATATAGAAAATAGTATAAAACAAACTTTTGTAAATTTAGTGCCACTGGTTTCTACTTTAAGCAATAAGCGAGTTCAAAAAATTGTAGGTAACAGTTTTGTGCAGGGATTAAATTTGATTTCTGTACAATATGTACGATGGAAGCTACGTAAAGTTTTGATCATACTAGTGAATTGCAATAGGTGTATGGAAACATACTAAAAACTCTAAAAAAGTAACAATTCTCATTGTAAATAAATTGTAAATAAACTTTTATTTTAAATGTAAAATGAACATCAAAAGAGACATGATTGCCCAAAAGTGAAAGTTTCTTTTATGCTGAATGTGTTTTTGTTGTACCTGTAGATCCATCACACCCATCAGCATGTGCTGAACATCCTGCTCCCGGCTCTCCTGTATTTATTGCATTATTATTAAGTGACATAATACAAATGTATTTTGTTTGATTATGTTTAAAGGAAACAATAAATATGCCAGTATTTACGTTAACCATTAAATAGGGAAAAATAAATAAATAAAATTAAAATAATGTTTCGACTATACTTTTTTTTTTTGATTTCTATATATAAGTTTGCCTTATATGTTACTAGTACATATAAAAATAAATATTTAATGATGGAATGCATAAACATTTACTAAGCATGAATATATGAATATGATTTATAAAATTTTTCATGCTAAACAATACAAAATTTATTATTTAGTATGTAAATCATAAGTTTATTTCCTTCATAAATTTAACCAAAATCAGAATAAGTACCATAAATAATAAATGAATTAATATAAATTTATATTAAATTTATTATCACACCTTACATTTTTATAATTTTATAATTATAGATACTTTTTATTTTACTACAATTACATACACTTTTGAAATATATTTAGAAAATCATACAGAAAACATCCAATTTCATAAGAGCCAAAAATTCTTAACCATTTTTTTTACCATAATTACTAACCTTGTTCTTGTTTGGTCTTATCGACAGTTTGACAAGCAATCCGCCATTCCTGTAACTCTGGTGACGGTATTAAACCTGCAGATCCACCAACTGTGTCGAGTCTGGCCTGCCACCAATGATGATCGTCTTTACTAATAATCTGTGGATAAAAAGGAATTGATTTTTCTTTAGATATCTTTCAAATTATTTATATGTATCAAGATTTACCTGTAGAATATCACCCACTTGAAATGCTATACCAGCTTGAGCACAAGGTATAAGCTCATCATCTAGAGGATTGTAGTCAAACTGCGCTCTAACAAATATCTAAAATAATCAGACAATATTTTGAATAAAAAATATTTAAAGTAATAAATTTATAAATTCAATTTTTTAAACTGTCTGTCTAACTTTGCATGATAAATGATACTATCACCTCATTATGATATATGACGTATGTACAAATCCTACATTCTTCATTTAATGTTTCAAAGTCGAACTTTATTTCTCTGAAATAATATGTTAATGCTACGTACAGGGTATGTAAAGTTATAACTATGGTTAGTTTTTTACCAAGAAGATTGTATGATGAAGATTAAACTATGTGAGATAGTGTATATTACAACATTATTCTATAATGCTTTTCTGATGCGTGTTGGGACTGTAAGTTAAAATGAATTTATATATTGATTATTGATTATTTAATGTCCAAAATGCAGTAGAAGACAAAGAGAAAAATTCATTTCATTCTCAAAAAAAAGCTGTTCGAATTGTATAATCCCAAAGAAACTCCTCATTTTGTGATTAAGCTATGGACTTTTTAGTTTTATATAGTGAATTAAATCAGAATTAAGAGTTAAATTTTTAGACTTTATATTTTAAAATTGTCAATATTAAGATATTATAGAGAGTCAAGTCATAATAAATATTTTCAAAAACAAAAAATTCTTTTTATTTTTTACATATTTAATCTTTCAATTCTGTAACTATTTTAACCCGTCCAAAGAATATGATAAAAACAAAACTTTAAAGTAAGTTTCTCTTTTGTACTTTTGTCCAAGTTGGGAAATGAAAACTAATCTCCTGAAATCAAGTCTGTGTATTATCTTAAATGAATAGCACTTTTTCCTTATCCAAATGAGGACATAATCAAACTAAATTGTACCTGATACATTGAAAAATTATGGTTATCACCTTCTCGTCTAACTTCACGTCTTGAACATCTTCAATTTCTTCGAAGGTAATTCAACCAAATAAAATTTATAGTTTTAATTATTATTTCAGTTCGTTTAGTAATCTGTGCAGCATTTTTTTCTTGTCAAAATGAAGCCGTTGTTCCTTTCAAATATTATTGACCCAATTTAAAAAGTTAATATGCTACGCTAAAGATATATCACTCCATTAAAAAAAAGAAACTTATCTATAGCTCTATAGATATTCATAAATATCTATATCTATAGCACCTTTTTGGCCAACTTTACTAATCCAGTCTACTAAAGAGAACTTTGAGAACTAATGAAACGTTCTTTGTTCTTTCATTACTCTAAATATGCCTATGTATTAAATTATGTGACGATATATATAGTTCAGTAAATTTTACATTTTTTTCTTTAAATTTGAATTAAACTAAATATGTTTAAGTTAACTAAATGTATTGAAGGTGTTAGATGACTGATACTTGAATAAAAAAAAAATATTTTTTTCTTTTTAAAGTACCAGGGTGAAAACTTCAACGTTACAACTTCTGTTTCCTAGTTGTTTTTTTTTTTTTGTATACTTTAACAGACTTTTTCATTTATTAAAGCATTTAAATAATATTTGACCGTTGCCCAATTAATATAAAATTATGTATTCCTATCCAATATTGTATCATTTCAGAAGCGTGAGAGTCCGAGTTTCGGAATTTTTAAGTTTCAATGAGAGGATATACGTCATGAGCTTCAACAACATACTTTAAAAACTTGATCTATTGAACTTAAGTTTTAGTTAACGTCCACATATGAGTTTTCAAATATTCCCATAATGAGTTTTCAATTCTGTTAAGTGTATTTAAAGTTTAATGAATAAAAAGTTATTCTTTTTCTAAATTTAAAGTCACAGAGACACTGTTCGCTACTACATTATTCTTTCTCAGTACTTTAAAAAGCATCCATAAAGATATTCTTATTTCAAATAAATATTTACGTAAATATACACGTATATTAATATTTAATATTTACCAAAACTTTGACCTTCTTTATCAGCAAACACACTTGAGATAAAGTTAAACAACAGAACTCATCTATATCAGAGTAGATACTTGTCGCATTGCCAACTTGCATAAATTTCTTTTTCTTAATTTTTCATTGAATTTCTTGGATTTTTATATTTATTTTTATTGTTTTTTTTTTGTTACATTTACAAAGGTAATAAATGATTACCGAAGTTAAGATCTATTTTTATTTGAAAACATCATCCTAATTTTATTGCCTGTACTTTCTCAAAATCAAAACCTACTCATCTTTGCACAAAGAAAATAAATGTTAAATAAAAATAAAATTAAAAATAATAAAAATAAAAATTTTAATTTCATTTAATTTCTAAATCGTCATGTTTACTTACTAGAACTGGAGCTGGTCTTATCCTGAAAAGCTGCGTTGGTATGTGTGAAAAGTTAAAGGAATGTTAATGTGGCACATGAAAAACTAATTAAAAATTTTTAACTTATATACATTAAAATTAAATTAAAAAGAAAAAAAATAACTAAATTTGTGACTTGTGTACAAAGAAGTTTAATGCAAAATGTGCATTTAAGTTTGCAAAATGACACAGCAAAATTCTACTTAAAAATATCAGAAACAAAATGTTAAATGGAATAAAAGCATTACCTCGCAAGGTGGTGGAGCACTTCTATAAGAAGGAACTATTTTAAAGGTAACTGAACCGCGAGCTTCACGCTATAATTAAAATAATAAAAAATATATTTTTTTTTAAATTATGTTAAAACATTTTTTTATTTAAATAACATAGCAAGTGATTTACTATTTTATTAGTTTCGATTAACTTACCAACATGCGTTGCAACTGACCCACCGATTGATGCTGCACTGGTTGACCATTTATCTCACGTATTTCATCGCCAACATGCAATGTCGCTTGACGGTGAATCATGCCACCATGCATAATCCTAGCCACAATACAACGTCCATCCTCAGTCATTTTCAAAGTTATACCCTAAAGAAAGTAATAGTAAGCATCAAGTTAATAGTTATTGTATATGATTATTTCACAATTGTGGTCACAATATATGTGAAATTGTGGTCCTTACCATTGGTTCGTCAGTATTTTTTTGAAATTGCACCAAACGTACTCTGGTCACATGCTGCAATTCCCCGCTTTCCACATTGTCTATCTCATCGCCGTTGATGTAGGGAGCCAGTGGTGGTGGAGTCACACGTAGAGCTTCCTCACCATAAACGTCTCTGGCAACAACATCATGGGTATGCAGCAAAGCCTGTAACAAAAGGATGGCGCATATCGATATCAGTATCAAGGCTACTTTTTTTTTTCTTTTTTTTTGTTTCTTGTACAGCAAAAATACTTATACAATTATTCATTTAATACAATAGCGCACAAATGGCAATTTCAAATGGCAAAGCGGAATTGCAACAAAAGACAACTCATAGTTGCTTACGTAAGATTATTATTACAAAACCAACAAAAACGAGTACAAAAAACCAAATATAAAATGAAGGCAAAGAATGGTATTACAAAATACCAATTCTATGCCACCACAGACATTCGAAGTAGCTTACCAGGCACCAGGCATACGAACAGGAGGCACACTTATACATTCATTCAGCGCCACTGATTATATTGCGATTTTTCAATATGCAGAGAAAGAACTTGGGCTTTGTTCACATTAATCATAGCAATAACATCATTTTTGGCCACAAAAATTCTGCCAACAACAAATGACAAAGCACCATTTGGCAGAAGACAGAAGGCAGCCGGCAGCCGGCGGTAGCAGGCAGCGAACAGTTAGTACCATTTCCTCACAACGGGAGTGATTGCGGTTTCAATTGGTATTTCAAAAATTCGACTATATTTTCCCCACGTTGCGTTACAATTATACCGCCTACCGCCTACCACCTACCTATTACCTACTACCTACTACCTACCATGACATTCGCAAATAGCGACTGTTACTAATTTAATAAAATGTCCTTTTAACGTTCGGCAGCGACCTTCTGCTCTGACTTAGTAGTGCACCCACAATAATGTGGTTTAATATTAAATTTTGCGTCCTTCATTTATTTATTTATTCATTTCTTCAATGATTTTATGCCTACCCACTTACACATTTACACACTTACCCGCATTCTTGTATACTCGTATAGTCATATAGTCGTATAGTGGTAAGTATTCTTTTCGTCTTTTCTCTCCGCACCCGCAGATGCTTGCCTCTTTGGTTAATGAATTATGGTCAATAATACTTTGAATAAGCTTTGAAATTAATTTGTGGCTTTTCCCTTCGCTAAAGGATACGTGCTCAACTTAAGCATATTTTATTGTTATTATTGTTATGGCTGTTATGGACTTTAAAAATTCTTTATAAGAAATTCGAAAAAATGAAGAAAAAATATGAAAAATATGAAAAATTATGAAAAATTATGAAATATAATGCAAAATATAAACATTAAATAAAACTTCTTCTTATTGCACAAGGTGGTAAGCCATAAGCTGTAAGTAGAAATTGTCAGTAATAAAAAAAGGATACCCTGCAGATGTGTAAGTGCTTACACTCATGCGTAAAACTCCTTTTGTTCCCTTATGCGGATGGAATTTCTAAACAGTGGACGTAATACTTCACTAAAATTATGAATTAAAGTCGAAGAGCTTTCGGCGAAAAGCTTAAAGTGCACCAGAAATAAAAGCGCAAATTAATGTCCTATTTAACAATGTACCAGGACTCGTAGTTCCAACTGAATCGTTATCAAAGACACAAAAAAAAAACAAAAAAAAGAAACGATAAAATGTGTAAAATGGTATATATCCAAAACCGAATAACCTATTATTAGATGCATATATATACCAGCAATCAGCATTCCCACAAATAAATATTCGCATAGAAAATTTTAGTACATCGCTTGACCGAAATATAACGAAGAAATTAATTTCTACACATTATTGAAAGGAAGCCATGCGGCTATGTATGTATATACGGAAAGGATGGGAATGATGGGAATGAGGAATGAGATTGTGGTTATGCTGGTAGTAATTGCAGTCTAAATGGTGTGGTATGGTGTGGTGTGAGAAATGAGTTCCTTTCTGGTTGAGATTGCTTTGAATAGAAAAACAAATTAAGAAATGCTGGCATAGTTTTGCAATAATGTCAACATGGAAAATTAAAAAATCGTTTCACATTTCAAACATTAAAATTATAATGTTTAAATCGTCTGAGAATGCGAAAGGGGTTATAAAAATGGAGGTTGGTTGGGATATTTGCAGCAGCACATGGTATAAATGTTTACGATCGGTCGGAGAAGAATGAAAGTTTTATTATTTTTATTTACAGTGATTTAAATATTTTTTTTAATTCTCAATGTTTAGAATTTAAAGGACTTTAACTTTTACAATTAGTTTTATTATATTCGAATGTACCACTGAGTGGAGGTTTAAGTAGTGGTAGGAATATAATAAAAATAAAATAAAATTGACTATAACTTTTAGTTTCAAGTATTACATGAGTACTGCAAGTTATTGTTTTTTTAATTAAAATGTTCACTTTTTGATTTTTACACAAAAATAATTATAAGAAAAAAATTTCAATTGGATGCTTAGAATATAAAGAGGTAGAAAGCAGTAGAGTGATAGAATGAGATTCGTCTAGACTGATCAAAAAGTTTAATTTAAATTCCTGATTATACCTAAAGTGATAGAGAACGGTAGAAAGTGATTAAGAGTCATCTAGTCTAAAATAAAAGTCATTCAGTCATCAAAAGAAAGTCAAATCCGCAAAACATCACATTTGAATCCATTTTTAATTTTGCAATATTTTTTAAGCCTTCATTAAATGCTTTCTTCGTAATGATCTTGAAGAGTAGAAGAATATATCACAACATCGCTTAGATAAATATATGATTTTTTAACTATATGGATAACACGAAGACAAGCACGCTAACGAAGTGATAAGACTTGGTATTTCTTCACAGGATGCTCCCTCAACAGTTTCTGTTTAGAAGATTGATTTACTATCACGTTTAGCAACAGAATAAGATATCGTCAAAGCTTACTACCAAGATGAAGAGCTGCATGATTAATTACAATAAGATTGAAATCTCTTAGTTAATATAGGTTTTTACGGGACACTCGAACATAGAACAACACAAGACAAATTGAACCATTAGATTCTTAGCAAGTCTTATAGATTGTCTTCGCTAGCGTCCCAGGACCGCGCTGACCGCACCCTACATCTTTAACATACAAATCAGTCATCCGGTTCACATTGAGTCCGGTTGGTTATAAAACAAACATTATTTTAATCATTGCAAACATTATGGAATATAATTAACTGCTAAGCTAACTGTGAAGATTCGACCTTATTCACCTAACTAGTCTGTAATATTGCGATAATATTTTTAATATTGTTAATTTTATATTGACTAAATACTTGTCATAAGTAGAGCATTATGTGAATAAAAGATACGAGTATGGCGTACAATAATACAAATTTTTAATAACGATACAGGGTTTAATCAAGCATAGAAATTAACGTCAAACATTTAGTTTTTATATAAGATAGACTTTAATGAATACAATAGAAATAAGCCTGTGGTGCAAAATAAAGATATTTATTCAATCACCATAGCTGTCGATTTTATTATAACATGGCAAGAGAAGAGACACTCTTATGGGTGAGATACATTATTACACTGAAAGAGAAGCACTATTAGTTTGGATGATTTTATAATAAAGTATAGTGCTTTGAAGGTTTAATGATTTGAGTAATTACAAGTAAATTAATTAACTTTTTTTTTACTAATCAATTAAACTTAATTAGAACTAAGCACTTATTGCATAGCTTAGAAATATCAATCAAATTTCAATATTTGTAACCCCAAATGCTAATGCTATGATAATCAAGCAATATTTCAGACAAACGCTAAGCGTTTCTTAAACTATCGTAATGCCTCAACCGCATAGCAAAAGTGACGTTGCCTACAGATGGGAAGCTAACCTTAGCGGTATGTCATTACTTAGCGCGAGCTGACATTACCCAATAAGGCTTTACAGATTTTTTTATTACAATTTATTTGCTTTTATTTTGTTTCTTCCCTTGTACCGCACAAATACAGTAACAAACAGTAACGTACTATACTCGTACCACGTTGACATTTTGACATAATGAAAGTAATAAAATTTTCAAATAAAATTTTGTAGCATAAATTTCTGCTGTTGGCAATAGCAGCGAATACTTTTCAATATGTTGGCAATGTTGGCGATGTTGGCAGTAGCAACAGCAACAGCAACAGCATTCATAAAAATAGGACAGATGCAAGAGGTAGGTGGATACACGTAGGAAGTAGTAGTACGAGTAGTAAAAAAAAAGAAATCAACTCAACTTAACGCCATAATCTGATTTAATGCCACAACAACAGTGTTGCCTCATTTTAAACATCATTTGCTGCTTCAGCAATTGCAAAATCAGCCTCAACTTGTGTCACCCGCTCTTTCGACTTTTCAACGTTAATAATTTTAACCAAGCGGAAGCAAGAGGCAGCAGGCATCAGACATCAGGCAGGCAGTAAGCAGTAAGCAACATCAGCAAACAGGAGGCATCATACTTTGCACTTAGTTTAGCCAATAAAATAGTGAATTAATTTAATAAACACAACTGTGCGGTGCGATGCGATGCTATGCTATGCGATGCGATGCGATATGATGCTGTACACTCGACTCGTTCGTTCTCTGTCTATAGTATATTGGCCAAAAAAGTCGCTTGGCTGAGCAATTTTTAAAAGGTTTTACTTGTTAAGGAAGTCACTTGTAACACAAGTAACCGGCATAGTTTGGAAAATTTGACGTTAAAGTTGACTTTTACGTTGACATTAAATGTTTGATAAATGGTGTGTGCTTGCTGTCTTAAAGCATCAACACATTTGTGTGTTTACCACATTTAAGACTCAGTATGGCCTAGACGACTATTGGCCTAACAAACGGATTAATTTTAAATTTTTAGTTACCCACGTGCTCAACCATACACACATCATATACTATTCCTCGTATCTTAACCCTCTCCAACCAACAAGCAACAACATACCACATACCATATTTAGTCTCATGTTCAACTTATTGCTTTTTATAGAATTATTATATATTTTTACGAGTAAATGAACCTTCCCTTGCCTTGCTCACTTCATTCATTTCTGAGTTTTCGGTATCCGGGTTATGAACAAAGTTAAGCAAGCAGACGTGATTTTGACGATTAATAAAAGTTAAGACGAAATGCAG